CCCAATATGGGAGATACATGTGCTGAAGGCTTTCTTCCTCTCTTCTGGGGATGCGATGCTGAGGACAGTCTTAATAATCAAAATATAAGAAAGGAGGATGAGCATTGAGTCCACACCAACAGTAGAGATCATGGCAGTCAACCCAACTGCATTGTTGATCCTGGTGTCTGTGCACGAGAGCTTCATCACGTCAGGGTGGAAGCAGTAGGAGTGGTGGAGCACGAGGCTGCGGCAGAAGGACAGTCGTTTAAGAAGTGCCACCATCGGTGTCAGCATTAGTGTCCCCCTGATGACAATTGCCACTCCAATTTGAGCTATTCTGGAATCAGTTAAAATGGTGGAATACCTGAGTGGATTAGAGATGGCCACAAAACGATCAAAGGCCATGGCCAGCAACACTGAAGATTCCATGACAGTGAAGAGTTTAATAAAGAACATCTGCGACAAGCAGGCATTAAAGCTGATCTCCCTGGCGTCAAACCAGAATATACCCAACATGGTGACCAGGGTGGATACGGACAGGCCGAGGTCAGTGGTGGACAGCATGGAGAGGAAATAATACATGGGTTCGTGGAGGCTGGGCTGAGTGACAATGGCAAAGAGAATCAGGCTGTTTCCTGAGAGGGCGGTTATGTAGAGAAAGCAGAAGGGAATGGAGATCCAGGTGTGGAATACTTCCAGCCCAGGAACACCAGTTAGCAGAAAAATGATGGACGTAGATGTGGTATTCTGGAAGTCTGACATGCTGGATTAAAAATACAGAGTTCCAAGATGAAACTCTGGGACAACAACAAAACTATATTTTTTGTATTAATCCAGTTACAAATAATTTTACCAATCAAAAACAAACCAAAGATGAATATGTGTATACTATATAAAAGTGAATTATTCATATAAATTGATAAAAGGATTGTAAGATTTCAACTGCTGTGGTAGGTACGATTCTTTTTTGTATGTGCCCCAGACCATTATTTTACTATCCTGGGACCCTTTGTCGGTAGCTATGTTTATACTCTGTGACCTGTTTTCCCTACCTATCTAGCCAGAGATGACTGTACTAAG